TTGTCAACATCAATCTTGTAGTCCGCCATATTGACGATGATCGTGACCATAAACAGACTCATGCCGTCACGAAAAACGAAGACGACTGAGTGCCCAGAAAACAGATCAGTGTTAATTCGCATCTAGAATACTGATCAGAAACGTAATCAGAACTATCCATCAAATCCAATTAGCATGTGCCACATAAAGTTAGCATATATCTCACTCATCGCAATAGCAATATTGTAGTTTTTTTTTTTCTTTTTGCTGATTTTCGGGTTTTTCAATCGTGTTTTAAAATGTGATAACAAAGGAATGTACATAGGTAACATTTCAGTTTTTACAGGCTATTTGCACACAAAAAAGGTGGCGGTTCTAAATTGACCAAAGGGCGTTCTTGAATATTCGTAGTTATATGCCTGATCTAGTTATGTAATTGTATACGAAGTCAATGTTTCGACAATCCTAAATATGCGACAACTTGACTACGTATTTCACAATGATAATTTTGATTGGCCGTAAATTTGGAACACTCGTGGTACACGTATAGGTAGAACCATGAGAACGATGGATGTTGTGAGGGCATATCCCGAAGCTACTATAATACGATGTACCATGGTGTTACCAACTTATAGGGCAGAAATGTGTTTCCACCATATTGGATTTTAAAAAAGGATTACGGGTTGAAAATTGAAACATAAAGAGCGTTTTTTTTTGGGGGGGGAGGGGGACTCATATTGTTTCCATACAGCTCTGTGATAACATCAACTGTAATGAGAACTCTCATGAGAACTTATACGGCTCATTAAAAGCATACATATCAAGACATGGTGGGACCCATTTCTTTCAAGGCAGACGTATAATCAATTCTGGATCGAAGGGACGGCCCCAAAAGCCCATAATTAGCAGGTGTCCTCGCTTGCCAATCTTTATTGGACACTGCGATTAAGACATTCCGTTTTCGACATTTCGAAATTATTTCGTTTTTGTGCAGAAAAATACAGTATTTGTACCAAGTAAACTCATGTTTATTAAAGGTTATAATTGTTCATACGTGAGTTGTTGAACACACTACATAGTTTGTAATTTTATTCAGCTTCATTCAGTTATAATTCAAGACAAATAAAAGGCAAAAATGCAGAGAATATAGCAAATTATTTTTTCTGTAATATTATTGTGTAATCGGTAATTATGAAAACTATATATGGGTGCGTAGGAAATACATTTGGTTTATTCCTAATCTACATTTTTGAATTATCTTGTAAAACAAATTTTTAGAGTTGTTTTTCCCAAAAAACGAAAGAATTTCACAATGTCGAAAACGAAAAGACTTTATCGTAGTGTTGAACGTACACGTACAAGTCAGTAAATATGCAACATTGTACATTTAATCGCGTTCATATCCGTGTCAGCGTAGACGTAAAACAACGCAGGATGTTTTGACAGTTTCTATCCCTGTTCAAAAACGCAATAATGTGTTCTAAATATAGAGTGCGTAAGTACATATAGAGTACCGAACTACACATCAAGCACCCTGTGCCACGACCCCTGGATAAACTGAGAACAAATAGTATCGTTTAATTCTACCATTCACGTTTACGATCTGTACTGGTGGTCCATTACAGTTTCACATGTAGTTCAGTTTGTGAACAACCACTCACAGTAATTCCGACATTATAGTTAAGAATTACCTCCCACATAAAACGAGTAAACTGCTGCTAAGAGGAAGATTTAATGATCGGTATGCAATAAAAACATGTTACAGGAAAAGGTGATCTATTCAAATAAACTATATCGTAATCAAGTTGTATTGTACGTGACAGGGCTGTGTGATTTCCTTCCAATAATGGAAATTACACGCGCCGTCCCTTTCGCAACACGCTCATCAACCAATCTTAATGGCATATCCTCCCCAAATGGAGTTTATGGAAAACTCATCTAAGGTATACAGATAAAATATTAACACGGCACCATAGACATGGGGTTTGGTGTTCCATGCACGGGACGTGGTCATGGGTCAGGCTCGGCAACCACAATGTCACCGGTACCGATAAATATTACTCTTGATCCAGCCTCGACATTCGGGAAAAAATTCAGTCTGAAATGTGGACGATTTAGTGGCATTGAGTTATGTAGTGTATATTTATAGGTCTGTGATACATCGCAAATCAATGTCAGCAATCGGGAAAAGTTACTGCTTGCATGGACAGTTCACATTCTTTACGACCAAAATTTAATGACATCAACCAACACGAGTTCAAGTTTCTTTCTGTTCAACAAGATGGGACTAAGATTATCATAACATTCTGTTTATCCATCTTACGATGTAAAATCGAACCAATTGCGATATTATTAGCAAGAACCTACTTTTTTTTATTTTCAATTACGGTACGATACTATAGTGTTCAATTAGCTTCTAAAAAAATAATATGGAGACGTAAAAGTAAATGGGTAAGCAGTAGTCCTCGCCATCTATTTATGGGGTTGGAATTATATGAGTAAAAACAGACTGAGTGTTCTAACTACAAATCATGACTGTGAATACTGAATAATAATGCACCCCTGAGAACCTGGCATTTGCAAATAGTTCCGTTGCTATGCAGACACGTGGTTAAGTTTATAGAGTATATTTAAAAAAAAATATTGCAAAACTTTGACTCAATAACTCCATGGGGTCATAAATCGTAACTATGGCAACAATTTGATATCTAGAAATTCTACAAGTAAATAATTATTGTGTGAATATCACCCTCGAGTGAGACAGACAAACCAGACAACTAGAACTATTATTCCAGATCCCTTATCACAATTGATCAGTTGACGGAAAATTACGGCGTAGTTGTTATTTACACATAACTCGCACAATTGGGTAGGTCAGCGCATATGAGTCAACTAGTAAAAACTGTGTTGTTCAACATTATCAGGAGGCTTTTTGTGTGTGCCTTTATTTGTATAACAAGTACACCCATATAATGGGATTGTAAATAAAACTACCATTAAATAAGTGGGAATTGCTGTGAAATTACACTACGGTGACTCAGTTAAGAAAACTACCAACTTGAAGAACTTAAAAAATACTGGACGTACGAACAAAAAGAAAAGAACAAACTGAAAGAACATTTGATGAGCTTGCATTTAGAATCAAACTAGTCTATAACGCAGACTAATTGACAAAGTTAGGAAGAGAGATGAAAAACCTTCGTTACTGTGAATATGCGAGTTTGTTCTTTGAATAAGAACAAATGCAATCGGGCGAGTTCTGTTTTGTTTATAAATTTAATGTATTATTTGGCAGTCACAAAATGACATTCCTCTTATCCAAGAAGTGTTGTTACAAAAGAGCTATAAATTAGAATATATCGTAATAAGTATTTCATCATTACGACCGGTTTACATTCCCGGCCGGCAAAACCACCGAAATATGAGCGTGAGAGGTTCTACTTCAAACTTCGAGTTTAGTTCATTTCTTCAATACGCATGAAGGATTCAACAAAACAAACTGGCAATATAATCTAAAATTTGTATTCATCAATAAAAAAAAGTTCACCCGTTTTCGCCCGATTCTGTCGTTGACGAAATTCGCCATTTCTGAGGCGTGTTATAGAGTTACCAATCGTTGTCATTTTTTTTTTTTTGTAAGATGAACGTTTTGACAAACATTGAAAATTGTAATTATGAACCAGCCCATGAATGGTTGAAATACCTCTTAATTTGAATATATAATACAGTGGTAGCCAGTTTACATTGAGATAAGGTGTCTTATCGGTGCAGATGGTTTAGCGCCTAATTCCATCGACCATCTCAGGCTCCGGGGGCGTTCCAGAATTGAGCTATGGGCAAGATGCAGTACGACGAAACAGTTAAAAACAGATTTCCAGAGGTCTTAGGTCAATTACCACTGTTAACCACAAACAGCCTAAGTGTGGCTACTATTTTAATAAAAACGTCATTATATTTATTTCAATTTATAAATATACCAGTAATTTATTGCATGAAGCTTGTCACGCATTGCCTTTCCACTTTCCTTTTTTAAAAATGTACGTGTCCCCCTTGTTTGTTTCCTTGTTCTCCACTCTCTGTGTGTATCGCACGTAATCTTCTCCACCAACAATTGTGAATGAAATTACATGTTTTTTTTTAAATGTATAATGATTTAGTACACTCCTAGGGGAGAATCAAGACACAGACAAAATATAAAACTACTAACCACACATTTATTTTAAATATAAAATATAATCACAAAACGTTTTAATGATTATTACAATTGACATGCTAAGATCTTTAAATATCTAACTAATTAGAATATGACAATTTACAAATAAAAATATTTTCTACTTGAAACTTTTAGTTTGTAACCACAATTCAAACTAATTAAGGCGCAAATACTCACAGTTTTTACACTTTAGGGGACTGGCCAGGTTGAGTAACATTTTTCTTTCGATTCAAATACATAAATAAAAAGACAAAACCAGAATTAATCCATCGCGCATGTCCGCATCTCGAAAACGACTCTTATCTAATGTAACATTCAGTTAGCGTAAAACTAGTAGATCATGCAATTCGGGGGGGGGATTTCTAGAGACGTTTGAGGTACTAATCCGTAAACATAGTTTATAAATGCGAATCCATCTGCCCAATTTTATGAGTCTCAAAGTGGGATAAGATGGAGCAAGGTCGTGTAACTCTTTAGATTAAACCAGCCTGGGACGAGGCCACAACGACTCAGACACTAATAGCATGTGATGTATTCGAGGACGTATTAACACGAGAGGTCAATATATAAGTCAGTCTACGAAAACAGACACACTGCTGAGAACATAACATTGGAGCCAGCATCCATTGATATGTACTAGTGGGCAGCCAGCGTCTGTGACATGTTTTGAATATTACTTATCTTGTCATTCCAGGCGCAGAACCAGACGATATGTTTAGGTAAAGGCAAGCTACTGCTACTGACTGGACTGTGTCGGTTATTTGCAATATATTCAATATATATATACTCTACATACGTTCTTCGAACCATGGGATGTAGCGTTTCAACGAGTACGGAGAACGGTAAGAATTTCGTCCAGCTTAGTGACAGTGTAGATATTTTCACTGAACGACAGAGGCGGATTGTGCGGAAGACGTGGCGGCCGTTGGCAAATGACATGACAGGAAACGGCACCAAAGTGTTCCTACATATTTTTGAAATGAACCCCAAAGTTAAACAACTGTTCCCATGCCGGGACAAGACAGGCGAGGAACTGTTAAAGGACTTGAACTTCAAAGGACACGCGTCGCGTTTCATGCAGAGCGTGGGGGCCGCCGTGGATAATTTGGACAATCTTGAGACGTCGCTGGCCCCACTGCTTATGAATCTCGGTAAGTCGCACAACCATTTCTCCGGATTTGAGCTGAACTATTTTGACTCGTTCACCGGAGCAATGTTACACGTTTGGGAGTTGGAGCTACAAGACAGATTCACACCGGAGGTGATGGAAGCTTGGAAACTAGTATTTGATTACATGATGGGAAAAATGAAAGACGGCTACATAACACGCAGAGACGAAAAATTGAACGAGACAAACGAACAAAAAAATAAAATAATTGTTTAACGTATCGCGGAAGAGTTGTATGCACATTATAATCCACGATCACGGAGTGAATACCGTATATAATATGACGTTGAAGATACACACGCATCAAATGACAATTTTAGCGAGTCGAAACTGCGTGACCGACGTCTATCGCCGCTAATTGATATGTGTCAAATACTAGCACAACCATTGTACATTGTGCCATCATATCGACACATCCATATTATTCCCTCCACTGTCAGTCTGTACAAAAAGAGCATCATTGAACATCGCAGCGTTTCAGAGAAAAGGACAGCCACCCTCGATCGCTAAATATGTTAATCGAGGTTGCCAGGGAGAGAGACATGTGGGTAACCATGGTGACGATGTAGGCTACAAAACTGTGCCAGAGACAATTAGGCCGTTGCTTATACATGTTTTGCGCGGGGTGTATGACGTTGTCCTCCAGTTACCACACATCATTCGTGAACCGTCGGACAATGCGAAGCTGAAGCTGAGATCAGCAGCGAAGAATCATAACTCAACCAGTTTATTCTCGGGAAAAAAAGAACTGATCTTGGTATATTAACATCGTATGATTCCTCTGGGCGTTAGTTGTCATCAGTTAGTTATTTTCCAAAACACTAGTAACTATCTATCGCGTGCACGTAGGCACTGTATATAAGTGATTACTCATTCGTTGTATATACGCGATGCTGACTAGACCCGTGAAACATTGAAACGAACACTGAGGATTTATTATATTTTCTCGCACGATAAGAGTAACAAAGTTGTTTTTTTTTCCTGTAAATATTCGTGTCTTGATGATATGCATAGACCGTACTTAAACTTACCGTACAACTGGAGTAGGCATGGGAGTATTTAATTGAACATAATGCATAATATAAGGATCAATTTGCGTGAGACGTGTTTCTGATATTGTGCAACAGATAATGGCCTCACTGCCTGTATGTAATGAATAGTACGCGGTAGAGAGCTACAATGACGCAGGGCTGCTAGAGTCTGACGCACACCCCGATAGTGCGAGCTTTTAAAGTGGTACTTTGGAAATCGAGAATGGTACTGTCAATAGCAGACAAGCAGTTTCCTTGTACTAATGTTTCAAGATCTTATATCCGATGTTAGTTTAATTATTTGTCTCCTCACAATCGATTTTGTTTAAATGTTGTTTGGCTGTATATTCTCATTACAATTTAAGCGAAAACGCATAGACTGCAATATAACAATATAAGTTGAGTGGCGCATCGGAAAACGACTGCGATTCAAATCTTAAAGCTTGTAGTAGTCAGTTATGCTTACCATTCCATGGTAATTGATTATTCAATCCCTTCGATTTAGATAAATATGTCGCTGTTTTTTTTACATTCGTTTGCGAATGGACCACATACGTCAAAACATTCCATGCATTTTTTGCCAGCGATTTTTCCTTACAAATCTTGTTTCCGTCAGGGCAATAATGTAGACGGAGCTTAGTAGTGATGTGGTCTGGAACGCGGTGTAGATATGCCGGCATTGAACATCGCCATTCAAAATATTTTACATAGACCTCTGTCACCACATGTCATCATATAACATAGATGATATATTCATAATGTGATGGCAATTAAAGCCCCATTATTACAAAGCAAACATTATTTATTGAAAAGCAGTATATTTTTTTTATTAAAATCTTCTTCGGGGGCGAGGGTAATGAATCTTAAAAAAATGTTGCGAGAAATAATAAATTTGATATGTGTATTTTTGCTCGGAAACAGGGTACAGCCTATTCACACTAATGCTGGGTTAAACTGAAATTTGTTTACGTGATACGTGTGCAAACAGACATCAATACCGTGCACTGTTCCAATGAGTGGGCCCTCTAGCGACGAAGAATTTCGTGATGTCGAAACGGCGTAGATGGAGGTAGGCTGTGATGTTCGTCATTTACAATATAGTAAATCTCGCAAATATGTTAATTTGAAAACAATACTGACGCTGTGAAAAACATTCATTTTAACCATTTGCATTACATACTTCGTCTCTAGGGGCGCGACATATAGGTACTTTCTATTTAAGTCATATGGTCTACGAAAGACTTACTCTTCAGAATACGAAGCCCAGTTCGTGTTTTTATATGCGGTATAATCGCCGAGTACGTGATATTTACATTGCAAACAAAAGATGAAAATCCAGCGCATAGCGTCTCATTGCTATGCGACCGGAATTAAAATGAGGCTTTTATCGAAAGAACGTACTTGAGGAAGTTTCGATTAATCATTGTTGTTGAATTAGTTTTTTTGTTTTCCGTGGGATCAAACACAGACGATGATATATTTATTTTCCTTGTACCGAACGATTTACATTATAGTTCAATATTATAGTTTTATGCGTGATCAATTATTTTTTTTTTAAAAAAAAAGCTTGATGTAAAATTAACTTTGTAAATATTGCATATTACTCTAGGTTTCTTAAATAAAACATCTATCATCAGTTTAAGTGATTGTGCGAATGAATGAAAGTAGCATGTTCCTGTCAAAAACCAATCAAAGATATTTACAAATAGATTACCCATTTCATGAGAAACAATCTGATTGCATGACTATGCAGGAATTATACAGTGTAAGTCCACATTGGTCGGTAGCCATTACTTTGTACAATTCTTGTATTTGTGAACTCGATGTTCATGACTTTATCACATTGAATTTAAAATAAACACACGATGAATGTTTTGATAAGCATATGATAATGTAGATACTAGGAAACAGATGAGATCCGAGCTATCTGCTTGATACATTACTGATATCATGGTATATATATATTATCGTTTACCAAATTTGCTTGCGTACTATAATCGCGTCATTTTTTTAGAAAGAAAGCTTATCTTATTTAATTATTTATTTCATTGGGCGTAAACCCTGCAGTTCCCGAAAAACAAGAAATACATAATTATTCCCAAAAATCACGATTGACAAATAAAACAAAATCAACGACGAAAAATAAACATTTTGATCAGATAAAACATTATTTAATAAGCAATGATGCTTCTCTGAAAAAAAATGAACGAATGAAGATTAATTAGAAAGTTGGGAATAAATAAAACATGCTTCAAACCACAGTCCCTCTATCACCGGTCTGGAAACGCTTAGTATTATATTGTACTAACCCTCGTAACGGGCAAATAAATCGTTGACACCTTACGCCAAGTTATCCCGAAAATAAACTTCCATTGATGTAGTCGTGCATATCATTAACCCACTGGAAGTTACCATGATACTTAGCGATTTGGGTCATTGCACATGCGTAATTACCAGCACACGGATCACAACATTACCATGTGGAAGGCTTACGGCGATTTTGTCGAATTCGACGATGACAACATTGATAAAGATGATAAAGATAAACCATGTAGTTCAGCCAGTGCTGAAAACTTACCGGAGAAACCTTTTACGGGGCATGATTGCCACGCCCACACGTCTGTCAAAACTCCACAACTGCTGTCTGAACGTAAACAAAATTTGTCTATGAAATTAAACTATTTATTACATCCCAAACAGAATTAAACCACCCCATTAGTTTTAGACGTAGTTTCTTTAATCACCAAATAAAAATGGAATTGGAGAATCACCCCATTCCCTTGTAATCGGAACAGAAACTAGCGTTACAATTATACGACTGAGAGAATGATGTGATCCAAAATGGCGCCGTCATGAATACAATGACGTGCAAAACCAAGACCCAAAAATCATACATCTTGTGACATTAAACAGTATCTCAATTGATTGTGTTGCCGATATACATATTTGTTGCAATTAATATGCCTGAAAAACAAAGTAAGCAGAAAAAAAAATTACCAAAGTAAAATGTGTACAACATCGTAACTGGGAGAGGCCATTTTGTTTTTAAGGACGCCGTTTACTTCTTAAAAATAAGTGTCATTTTTTTAACGAACAATCATCAAAATCGTATATTCAACATGACCATTGTGCTAAACGTATTTCAAATCTACCAAAAATACAAATGTTGTCATGTTGTCAAGAATGTACCGTTAATGTGAGAAACAGAAAAAACGAGTCAGTTTACAAGTCATGGCACAGTCCCTCTATTACAAAAGGTGAAGAAGACATAATTTCACACAAGAAAACGTCGAGCATCAACATATTGTATACAACGAAACTGACTCTCCTTAAAAACAAAGACGTTACGAATCAACTATGGTAAAAAATATTTGTATACGGTATCGAATATCAAAAATATCAACAGTATAGTACCGCGCTTCGCGGAGAGCCGTAAAAAGCGTTAGTCCACTAATCCCGCCGATTCACACGTAAAATAATAGGCGTTTCCAGACCTGTGATAGAGGGACTGTGTGCAAACGTAAAGATCGCGATGGTACATGAAAACGAATGTTATATAAAATGTCTGAACTATTAAATGTTTTGAAAATTACATGTTAATATGGGCAGAGAAATTAAAGCGGGAGGGTCGTCGCCTGCGCACGCGCGGGAATTCAGTCCCAGGCGACGCGAACAACACACGCTAAAGACGCAAAAGCTCAAGGGTAGGCGCTTGTTTGTAAACAATGACACGCTATGGCCATCATTCGCATGCACAGGTGACGACTCCCCCGCTTTAACATTGTTAGTAAAAAAAACAATCTTGCAATGTGTCCCCCTGGGTACATCATTTCCGTCGAGTACATATACACGAGTAATTATTTAAAGGATGAACTTTATTTTATTAGTGAAATTAACAGCTATGTACTTTTTACAATTTAGTTTCCATGCACTTAATCACCACTCAGCATAAAATGAGTCTTGCTTGAGTTAAATTCAATCCGTAATCAGTGGAGAATACTGTGGAACGAATGTTATTAATATTTATTAACATAAATAAATGTTGTGACCCCTGTGTAACACTACACCTCGATCTAGATCTACAACGTTATTTATATTAAGCTGTTGGCTGCTGGCTGCCCACTCAACAACGCCATGGATCCTGCAATACCAAAATGAAGTGGGTGCGCAACTAACAATACGCGG